CCTCATCGTAGAAGGCTATAAAACAATCAACAAGTAAATCATTAGCCGATCTATAATTATGGCATAAATATATTATGAACCGATCAGATATGACATATAAACAACATAAAATNTATGATAAAATATGATGCTAGGATTCTTGAAAACTAATTAGAAAGTTAACTGACTAAAAATATATGTTATACTGTGATGAATTATGAAAACATAACAATTTCTACCAATCATCAAATCATAGAAATATATCATAATCACCTCATCACAATTAATTAGTTCTACTAACATCATCTAGCCTTTACAAAATAATTGTAGACCAACATGTTAATTAGAAAGTATTTTATTATATACGAATCATCAGACCAAGTAATAAAAATATTACGATAATGATTTTCGGTAAAGAACTTATTATGACTACTGTGGGTGTTCAATCAAGATATATGGATCAAACAAATAATAAAACAAAACATGTGANAGNATGATTCCATTATAGTATCGATTAGCAAGATTCCATTGTTATGAACTATGTCTCGATGACAAATCACGAGATAGTTTATGACTACAGCATGTCTCAATATTATACATCAATAAAATAATCAACGATGAACCATCAAACAATAAAAAAAATCGAATCATGGTGAATTTACGTTATTCGATTTTATGTAATATGAATTCACGTTCTAGGGTTATAATTAAGTATGATTTTAAGATTTGAATTAAAACTTATCTGGATCGATGACAAAGATAGAGAGATCGGAGACATCGGAGAAAGAACCGCGATGGCATCAAAGATGGGAGTATAATGTGGATTAGGGTTTTTGCTTATCTCGATGGAGTTTGGAGGATAACAACATCAAAGACGGCNTCGGTGTTGTTTGGGATTCATGGTTGTTTTGACGGCTAGGGTTTTTACTCACTGGCTAGGGTTTCGTGTTCAGACGGCTAGGGTTTTACTCAGTGGTTAGGATTTTGGATTAGGGTGCTCAGACGGCTAGACTATCGTGCTGATAACG